TGATACATGCAATTCATCTTTGGGAGAAACGACTTCACTCGAACACCCTCTGCCTCATACACCAAAGTTGTGCCTCCCCTCCCGGATGTTCCTGCCAGTGATTTCCATTTTCACGACATTACGCAAACGCTCAAATCACACTCTCACCTGTTCAAGGTTGTTACTCCGATCAATGCTGACCATTTTGAGGAGCTCCTTTCTTCACACCCGAACTGCCCACTGGTTCAGTCTATGTGCAAAGGACTACGCTATGGTTTCTGGCCTTTCGCCAACGTTGACGATCCCTGTTATGGGAATGGACCTAGAATCTTATGGTCCATGACTATAGACAATCAAACCTTAGCCCCTTCAACTTTATTTCTTTGTCAAACCCCATGCCAAGCTTTCCCACTGGGTTTTGGTGCTGGCTGGGGGATTTGTTGAGTTTCAAGGGACTTCCTTTGACCATTATGATTTTTATATTAGATAGTTAGAAGTCATATGATGTATAAGGCAGATGCCGGAACTGTTCTCATTATCAAATACATAACCCACAAACCTTGTACCGCAATTGTAACATCCTCACCATTGTGTCACCACTGTAAACTCAACCTGTAACCCTGGAACCATGTCCACCTCCCTATTCCTCCTCTCCATGACAAAACCGCAGCGAGGAGGGCATTCCCACGCCCAACCTCCTGCTGCCCACTCCCACCAGTCCACCGGGTGGTTGAGTGGTTACTCCCATCCAACCAGAAGTTCCCTATCAGGAACTGTAGCCTATCCCACCTCCTCAGGAGAAGGATACGGTCCAGGCAGCTCCAGGATGCCTGGCCACGCACCCACGGGTCCCACTTCCCATGGTCACCCACTACCGTGCACTGGTCCACCAGCCTGCTTTCCCCAACAACTCCCACTACCGGTACACTCCCATGAGCGCCAAGTCACTGATAGCCACCAACTGGGTGACTCCCTTTGGGAGTCCCAGTATCCCTCACTACCGGTACGCTCTATTGAGCGCCAAGTCCCCGTTAGCAGACAGCCAGGTGGCTCCCTCAAGGAGCCCACATCATACTCGCTACCGGTATGCTCCCAGGAGCGCCAAGTTACCGTTGGCCGACACACAGGTTGTACTTCCAACACTCATCCTATTCCGCTCTCCCTCCGATGGCTACGCAGCCACCTCCATTAGTGAGCTGAACGGCTCAGGTTGGGTTCCCCGGAACCCATTCCTGTAACAATCCCGCTCTGGTTCCCAGTGGGGTTGTCTTGCGCCCTCATGGTTCACCCAATTCAGATGAGGAATCTAGCCTCTTTCTAAACAGACAGCGTGATCTTGAGATGTCACTCGATCGCTATTCCCCATCTTTCAGAAAGGTTCTCTTACCCGGAATGGTTGCACAACCAATCTTTACCGTTCTGAAGAAAGGGTGTATGAAGTTGGGGTTAGTTAATGACCATAGTGCAGGTGAGAAGTCTTTAAATTCCCTGATTCCTGCGGATGGAGGATTTGTAATCCTTGACAACTTATCTGACCTTGCATCAAATATTCATGCCATTATGAGAGGAAATGGGGGGGGCAGCACCTAAGTTAGTTTGGAAGTCGGATGCCTCTCAGGCATACCGACGCCTCCCGATGCACCCATGTTGGCAAACTCGTCAAGCTACTCTCATTGGCAACGAATACCACGTCGATCGTTGTGCTGCTTTCGGGAATCGCGCTTCAGGACGTATATGGTGCTTGTTCTTTGGTCTGGTCTGCTGGGTTGCAACGCATGTCCTAGGGATCCGGGACATGCTCCATTATGTTGATGATGCTTTCAATGCTGATTTCGACGGGGACCTTATCCTCTACGAGCCATACAATCGTCTCCTTCCTACTGACCAGGCACTTTTCTTGCGCCTGCTTGACGAAATTGGAGTTCCTCATGAGGACAACAAACAACTTTATGGTCCTCAGTTGGAGATCATTGGCTTCATGTTTGATGCACGGGAGCTCACCATCTCTATCACAAGTGAAGCAAAAGACAATCTAGTTGATGCCATTCACGATTTTCTCAATAATACCCCTGGCCAGAGTCGACGACAGCCACTTTGGACCTGGCTGAGGATCCTTGGTTATGCTAATTGGGCTTTGAACGTGTTTCCCTTACTCAAGCCGGCACTTAACTCCTCTTATGATAAAATAGCCGGCAAAACCATTATGGCACAAGGGATCTACATTAATGTGTCCATCCAACGTGATCTGTCATGGTTTGTTGATTCTGTTAAGAGGCTGGAAGGAGTGTGGGTTCTTTCTGCTGAATCTTGGAGTGCCAAAGAAGCCGACATTCAGGTCTGGGGTGATGCAAGTAAACTAGGCTTGGCTTTTTGGGCACCGAAAGTCTCAGCAGCTTTCGTCAGTGATCCGGTATTTGATGCTGATGGATCATTCAACATTTTCTTTAATAAGGCCATCTCCATTCTCGCGGCCTTACAATGGTCCTCTACATTGGATCCCTGCCTGTCAGGGCCTGGCCCTCGTTCCGCGACGGGCCCAAGGGGATCCTCCGAGTCGCTGGGGTATCTAGTCCCAGTCTGAGGTCTTCAAACTCACTGAGGGGGCTAGCCCCAGCCTTCACAGGAAATGAGCTGAGAAGAAGGGTAACCTTCTCAACCTCCTGTGAAGCCGCTACAAATGGGAGCCGGGAACTATACAGTTTTCGGCTCTTTGCCGACTTTCCATAATTGGCACCCCCCCGTGGGAAGATTCTGGGCAAGCAGCTCGCCCAGAAAGTTCCCACGGTTGTGGCTGTGATGGTTTCTGGGCGAGTAACTCGCCCAGAATGTTCCCACGGTCTGCATGCATGCGGGATTGTGGAACAGTGAAGGGAAAAATAGGAGAAAATGGGGGAAGGGTACCTGAGGGTGTGTGGGGTCAGGGGCTGTGCCCTGACACTGCCCCAAGCGCATAGCAATTTTTACCGATTCTTCTAACTCACTTGACATTTTTCACTCCCTTTGGGCCGGCCCTACCTATAACCCGATTCTCATGTCAGCAGTCGGTATCCGCATTGACCATGGTATTGACCTTCAAGTGTTCTTAATTGAAGGAAAGCGAAACGAGGTGGCTGATGCTCTCTCTCATCGAAATTTCACCTGTGCGAGGTCCTTGGTGCCAAAATTAGTAATCCGATTCTTTACGCCTCCACTGAAAGAGCTGGGGGCGTCTCAAAAATGAACTTTTTGTCCCACTCCTTGGCCAGACAACCATGTCGAGAGCCTTGGTCAAAGGAGTGGTTTCTTGTGGAGCGTGCTATTGCTCTTGGATCTGCCCTCAAGCACAGTACCGCACGTACCTACACATCGGCTCTCACATCCTATATCACGTTTTGTAATCTTCATCAATGGCCCATTACTCCTACCCTCGATACTCTAAGTTTTTACACTGTGTACATGTGTTACCATATCAAGCCCTCTTCTGTCTGGTCTTACCTTTCAGGTATTTGCGCTGAATTGGAGCCTTTTTGGCCGGAAGTCCATGACTTTCGCAATTCCGGGTTAATTGATCGCATCCTGACTGGGTGCTCCAAGCGACTAGGAGCTCCAGCGTCTAGGAAGCGTCCCCTCACCGAGGATAACTTGCGGACCATCTTAGCAGCCCAGCCTGATCACCCTTCTCACGATGATCTCCTTTTCCTTGCCATTACCTTTACCGGTTGGCATTGCCTGATGCGCCTTGGGGAGTTGGTTGACCCAGATGTTGTGTCTTTGCAGGATTACCGGAAGTGTATCAGCCGAGTAACAGTCAAATTCGCATCAGAACCTCGTCCACATGTGTCCTTTGTCTTGCCGATGCATAAAGTGGACTGGCTATTCGAAGGCTCCATTATCATCCTGGAGCGCCAACTCAACGAACTGAACCCTTTATCCATCTTCCAGCAATATCTTTTATCGCGAGATCTCCACTTTCCACATCTGCCAGAACTTTGGTTGCGCGCTTCTGGTCTTGCACCCACGCGCTCTTGGTACATTGGTAGATTGCGCAACCTTTTTCCAGGCAAGGAGTTTGCTGGCCATTCCCTCAGATCTGGCGGTGCCACTGCCCTAGCTCTAGCTGGCACTCCATTGGCAAATATTCAGCATATTGGTCACTGGAGTTCAGAGGCCTTTCACATCTATCTCCATCAGAATCCGATTTTGTTACAAGGAACACTTGCTGGTGTTTCCGCATTTGATGGGCATCATGCAAATCATTGATCTCTAGTTGCACCACCATCCACCCCTCTGCCATCCTGGTTATCGGGTCAAGGTTACAGGTTGCACAATGCCCGCGCGCGCGCCAATTCACAGGCCGGGACCGCTTCAGTTCTGGCCGTTTCCACTAAAAGTGCTCACACCATCTGATCAGCAGGTTGCACCCCTGTGTCCCCCCCCCCCCACTGTACAAATTCGGAACCCCTGGAGCTTCCTTGTCAAAGGACTCCACCTGAGCCAAGCTGTATGTTTCATCACGATTGACTTGGCTAACTACCAACCCACCGGCTATGTCGTATCTCTGCACGGCCTTGGTCGAAGTCCCTGATTTTAACCCCTGGTATCATGAACAACAGCCACAATCAATGGATCTGGCTGTTCAGGCAAACCTCATTCTCCACCCCCACAAGCAACCACGTCTTCTGCCACTCATACAAAAGCATTGACCACCTGTACTCTGTATGCCCAATCCACAATCACCATGCCAAGTCCTGTCGTTGACTTGACTGTAAACCAGACTCCGCTGTGCCCCCTACCACTACTCAGCAAGACGTGGCCATGGTGAAACCTTTGGACATGGCAGAGGACATCGGAGACCCCACAACTAACCATGCCCCTCATAAAACAAATTACTAACTAATCTGAGCCACTGGGTTGATAGCGATCAAGTGCATTAAATGTGTAAAATTGAAGTGCATGAAATTGAGAACCAATCTGAACCCACACATATTTGGGAAAATTAGAATCACAATGACAAAATAAACGTATATTTGCGGGATGGGTAGTTATATGGATACATGCAGTCTAAACAGCCTGTACAAGGGAGTGAAGAGGTACTAACAATGCAGTGAGACTCCCGAAGGGAGTGGATGCTGAATGTGAAAAACTCACAAACCAAAGCACAACGCAGTGCGTAGCTGAAACACAGACAGGCAGTCTGAAGTGCACACATAAGTCACCAGCATCACTGCCAATGTCGGACTTACCAGTCCAAACCAGCACAGACGCGAAGGCGATAAGCACTGGGGAGCAGAGGGATGAATGGAATGATCCGACCTAGTCGCGAGCTGCACATGGGGCCAGCCCCAAATTTGCAGTGGTGAACCTGCAGAATCCCATTAGTGCTGCAATAACACGGCACCACTCATGTCTCATGATGCTGCCACGATTAGCTGTGTGAAATAAGAAACTGACTTGTGTTAGATGTGCCACAAGTGGAGTGCTATATGGGCATGCTGGCAGGGAGGGCTCGGGGATTAGGGTAGCTAACATGTACTGAGGTTGGTTTGGGCCTGCTTAGAATGCCACATGTGGTTAGAGGAGGACATGTGGATACACACCATCTGCGACAGTTGCAGGGTCAAGACTGTGAGTGATTGCGTCCATCGCATGTATATAGAACTCTTCTTCAATTCCAACACATTCAGGCAAGTCCCAATAGTCCCCAAGAACCAGAGGGAGGGTCATCCCGAGGGAGAACTCAACTGTTGACCAATACAACAGAGTCATGCTTGCCTGAGTGGCATTGCATGTAGTTGATAAGGCTTAGATAATGCAAGTGCATGTCTGGAATGCTGTCAACGCATGAGTTATACGTTGAGAAAGACCAGAAAGTACACAAGCCTGAAGTTCTAGGTGCATGCATACTTTCATGCATGTCAAAAGGGCGTGTGGAATGGGGTTAAAAGTCAGAACACCGATTCCAAACTGGTGAATCAATCAAGATCATGAGGAAGGGTACTGACCACACATCCCTCAGGACCAGATTGCAAAATCTGTCTGATCAGAGATATTGAGATCAGGACGGGGTCTATGGTGACTCACGATAAATCAGATTGATGAGGGAATGAGGGAATGTGGGCATCTCTAGTGGAAACTGGGGGGGTGAGGAAGAAGTGCTATACATGCTGAAAGGAGGTGGGTGACAGTGAGCACAAGGTAAACAGCGATGGTTGAGATGAAGGCAGCTTGAATTCAGTTTCAATTTTGCATTATTTATGTATTTAATGCGCTTCACGCTGCTTGGAATTTGGCGTGTCATGCAGTGAAAGATGCCATTCTGGTCCTCAATGTCCAAGTTCCGATTTCCCTGTATTTTCATTGTATTGTGTGTACTATGGGGAACTGCACTTGAACACCTATTTGGGCCAGCTTCTCCACTAATCCTGCATCGACCGTCTGATTAAACACCCAAACAATATCATCGAGCACCGGAAGGTGAAAACATTGCTTCTGCTTCCACTCTTCCAAATCCCTCCCAACAACAAGTTGAAGGGATGTCTCGCCATCCCAACAAGCCATGTCTAGCGTCAGTTGTTCCAAAGTTGTTGGAAGAAGACTGAAGAGGTCTACTTCTCCATGGTTTGGATCATGGAACAAGGAACAAGGGATCGTAAGGCTTCTCAGGGACTGGAAATGGGAAAGCGTTCCAATGGGTGTTGATTGAGGTGGGGCGCTCCATGGGATAGAGATAGATAATGTCTTCAAGCTATGGCACTGGAATGCAAGACTCCGGTGCAATAGTGCACCATCTTCTATCTCACCCTCCCATATGAACTCCTCTAGTGACCGAGGTAATTGGAGGATGTTAAGAAGAAATGGATCCCCTTCAACAGCAAGCATGAGGGATCGCAGATTCAATGACTGCTTTGCTGGCACATCCCCCTTTCTGAACTCCTTGGAGGTAAGAAACCCATGTAAAGACATAGTAGACAGGTTGGGGAGAGAAATGAATGGGGTGATATCCTCAATCCTGAACGCATCCCAGAAGAGCTTAATCTTGGACACAGAACGAAGGCCAGGAGGAATACTGTTTCCAACCCATTTTGTTAGATCTCGGGGGCCACGGGATGAATAGGGGGATAGTGGTATACAAATACTTAGTGTGTTCAAGTTGGGAATCAAATGGAGGAGCAATGCAAAGCATGCATAGCATGAAGTAGATTGAAACCATGGGATTGCAAGAGAGCTCTTGGGCAGCTTGTTGTATCAAGCAGACATCTCTTTGCACTTCCTCTGGAAGCTCACGTTCTGAGCGCTTGACATGGTACCAGCGTATCTGTGCACAGCGAACAATGTGTTGTAGTACATCTACCTCTTGCTTGATTTCCTTTTCTTTTCTTTTTATGTGTCACATGACTGCAGAGATGAACTCTATCTGTTTCTACTCTTGTATAAACATTACAGTTCATCTCAGAGGTGCCATAACCTGAGTTACAACACAATGCGGCCCAGATCTGGACGAAGTATGAGAGTTCGAACAAATTGATGAAGCCTGCAATCCAATACCGGGGCTCCTTCCCCCATGATTGAAACAGATTTGTAAAGGAATAACTGAGCAAGAGGATGAAGACGATGGGAAACAAGGGAAAGGCTGAGTAGGGTTTCAAGAGCCCCATGCACCATGATTTCGCAAAGAATATCGTTGGGAAGTGCCTCAAGAATCATCTTGTTTCCTGTGTTCCAGGGCAGCTTGTCAGTAGGGGCACTGAACTCTCAAGGTATGCCAAACCTTGAACTCAGATACGTGATGTATGTTAAAGTGCTAACTACGTAAGTCACTACGGCTAATTCCAGTGACGGCAACGAGCCTGTGACACAAATTTGTGTCACAGTGAGGCACCCATTTACAGTAGAGTGCTTGCACTTTGCGCTTTGCAGACCTCAGGACAAACACAATCCAGTCATTTGGAGTCTGAAATTATTTAAAGGCAAAGCGAAAAAGTAGGTGGTACAGCGACAATCACAGTGGAACCAGCACGGACTACTGTGCACAAGGGCAAATAATGGAATACTTGTGGGCAGACATAGGAACACCACCAAGGGGCACGTTGACACCTTTCAATGCATACATGACAGTGTCATGTGCAAAAGCATAAGAGAGTACTCCGCACGGTGTTGAATGCCATGTGACCTCAGAACTTTCCCACACTATCTCATCCCATGCACTCACGTCCCATCCTGCTCTATCCAACCCCTCTTCTCTTCATTGGCCGTTTTCCTTGTTATCTACTTCCTCCATTGTCTGACTCCGCTGTCGTGATTGATGGTATCGATCATGGAATATATGATAAATCTTTAACGATCAACGACGCTGTTTTTTTTACAACTTCTATGTCACATTTTCGATGGTGAATGCTACCACAGTCCCCTCTCCACTTGCGTAAATGTCTCATCCCAATGGCCCGACTGCGATGTCTATTCAGTGATTTTCTGAGTTCCAACTCTGTGTCATATGAAGTTCTGAAGCTTGTATGTAGCGCTTTGGGCGTTTTAGCTTGCAATCAATATCATGCATCTCAAGTGGACTGCCCACTAATTTTACAAGAATTCAGTCTCACTTCCCTGATCGATTGAGTGTACTTGCACTTCGCCAGACTCTGCACTGCCCACTTGTTCCATTCTCAAATAACTATGTTGTTATATTGCAAGCATCAATCATCTTTCTCGCAACAACATGATACAGGGAAAAATAACAAAAACCGGATGCCATGGCAGCAAGTGAAGGTCATACATGGTGGCCTTCAGATACGATGGTACTGATCAAACTGAACCGATGGCACATTGACACCTTGAAACGTAAGAAAAGTGAAAAGAAAGGGGAAAGAGATAACAAATTTTCACCGTCGAAAAAAGCGTAATATTGCCACGGGTGTATCACTCTGTGCAGAGTAATCTGTGCCCTCTATGTGCACTTTAACGGTAAAATACATTGTCCAGTCCGATTGAGGGTTATCAGCGAGGAAAGAGTGGCAGGTTCTGCCATGTCAGGCAGCGTCCACCAGTTATTTCACAAGACAAGGCCAGGGAGCCTTCGGCCCCTCTGTCTATCTTGCCTGAACCAATTGGTGGGTCTCATGATTGTCTTCATATTGGCAGGTGTTGGCCAAATTTATTCGGTTATTCATGCAGAGACTGTTGGAATATCAACGCTCATCGACAACAGCCGAGCTGCAGTGAGGATTGGGGAGTGATGAGATTTCTTTTTAATCATCATGACTGACAACAATTATACCTTTTTGTTTCAGAGTCGCGGTACCATGCGCTCTCAATCTTTATTTTGTCTTACATCGCCAGTTGTCACTGGCGATCGCTTGGAGTGATATTGGCACCAGTCGTATAAGTTACACTGGACGCTGCAATTTTTCCCTCCCTCAGTTCTCCATATCGAGACTGAGGTGATACCATTTCGTAATAGCTCCTATTTTATTAGAGACTTCAGTCTTACTGGTTATCTTTCCTTTCTGGTTGTGAGTCAGTTCACTTACAACATGCCTTGTGACTGAAATATGGGTAAGAATACATGTGCGAGGTAATTGCAGGAGGACCGAAGGATCTAGTTACTACTGTGAAGAATCGATCACTGATCGCAGAGTGTTATCAAAGTTCATATTTATAGGAGGTTGCATTGTGTCAGTGGGGCACTCGGTGATCTGATAGCATGGAAGACGTTGCAAGAGGGCTAGCGGCTCTCTATGCCGACTAAGCTCGTGGGGCCAAACTCTCCAAAACTCCTACTTCTTGACTAGACTTCGCTACGCTCGATCCTTAACTCCGTGGTGAGTTCTCCAGGATTTCCGCAAGGTCCGGGCTCAGTGTCCACTACTCACTCGTTGTGAGCTAGATCACTGCCCTTATTCCTACTGTTGGAATTCCACACACTCACACCCTCTCTAGTGCGTCCTAGCACCTTAGGGAATTTGGGGGAGGGGAGAACTTCTTTTCCAAAATCCGGTATGTACAGGATTATAAGAAATAATTATTTTTAGAAATAATAGATGGGGAATATTGGTACCATATGGCACCTGGATACCTTATTAGGCGAAATAATAGAAAAGGGTAACAGTATCAATAAAAGAATATCAATCAATAACTGAAATGATGGTGAAATATGAAAATAAGAGAAAATAAGCGATATCTCAATGGATTTACGGAATTAAGAGCCTAAATTGGAAATGTAGCCGGAGATAACTCTCACGCAGCCAATGAGCATTTTTACCAATTTATTAGACGCCGTGGGAACGAGTGAGGCTGGAATTCTGGGTTGCCGCTTGAGATTCCCACGCCCGCACATGCCCGTGCCTAACTTGCCCAACATAGAACTCCGTCAAATCTCCACCGATTGGGACGTTTTTGGTATCGTTGGGATTGTAAGAATTAGGACTATTTTTAGATACCAATTCCGTACCAAGTCGTCGCATGAATGAAAGTGGTTTTCTGAATGTGTGAACGGGTATCCGAGCCGGTTCTGCGCGTGGGTGATTATCCCGCCTACAACGTCGTGATGTTGTGATTCATGATGCGAGCGATCAGATTGCATTGCAATAAAAGTTGGTCGGTGCGTTGGATCGAATGATACAGCTACAGTTGAAACCGTGATAACCCATACCTATTAAAATTCCAATATAAATTATCCTGCATACTGTAAGCTATGGGGTATGGCAGGTTCATGGGGTACAGTATGACCTTCAATGGGGACCGGTACCCATAACCCATAGTGTGGAAAAAGAATTTATAATGAATTTTTAGTGGGTATGGGTTATCACGGTTTCAACTGTAGTACATCTGCATTGTCGAATCTCGCTGGTAAAAGAGACCCCATGTACCAGCAGTCTTGCGGCTGTCCTTGCATAGGTGGTTGCTCGGATCAAGAGGCTTGAGCGTGATATAGGTATATGCCACGGATGTGAGGCAAGTGGATGCGATCAGAATGTCACTGGGCATGCAGCTAGCCAATGAGAGCAACAATGCGCTCCAATGCACTGGTGAGACTCTATACTTTGAACAGTTCCAGGGCGTGTAGTGTGTGTGCCGTCACAATCATTGTGAAAGTGTGTCGACCGAGTGCTGTGGTATAACCTGGCACTTAGGTTACGTGTAATTAGGCGTTAAGAAAACACAGCCAAAGTGCTAATGGATGCCAAATGAGCACTGAAATCGATGTCAGGGACGTCAATCCCACTTCCGGACATGAGTGCGAAATGGGAGCCAATGAGAGGACTGCGTCAGAACTGACCCAACTTGGGGTTAAAACCTTAAAGAGCGAGGTCTAATCAGGAGCCTCGCCTATGGTCGGATGGCCAATCGCCCTTTAATCACGTTTAGTACTCTATTTCATGTGTCTAATCCTGTCTCACTTGTGCGGCCTGGAAATGGCCCTGTGCTCTGTGCTTTTGCGGCACTGAGGGAGCATGAGGGATGAAAACCTATCTGGGTCCTAACTGAACTCTGAGTTTAGTTTCCCCGTGGCGCGATGGGACCTGTAACTTACCCATGCTGACCAGATAGTACTGGTCTCTGCGAAATTACGTTGCATTTTCGATCGACTCATCGTGCGCTCTTGTGAGTCTATTGCTGTTGCGAAACACTCATTGCTCACTAAGGTGCTCGGCCTGACTTCCTGATTCTTAGTCCTGTCTCACACATAACTCGATCATCTTACGGTCAGAGTGCTGAGTTACTCAACATATGTCGCATGATGAAGTTGCAGGGACCGGACCCACTGAACGCCCCAAGTCATCGACAAGTGCAGTCACCCTCCAACAGCTCGATGATGTGGTCTGCAGGTTTGGAGCAAACTGAATCTCTCTTCGTGAAGCCTATGGGGCCCTTTTGGATGCCCTCAACAATGAGCAAACGACCAACAAGATGCCCCTTTACACGGTACACGGTGGAACTGGAGCAAACCGCTGAAGCCAGAGTACGAG